TACTCGTGGACACTCCTACTGACCCTCTATGAGCCCTCAGCCGCCCTACGATTGGCCGAAAGTATGTCGAAGAAGATCACTGAACTGTTGGACTCACCGGATGTGGACCTGAGGATAGCCGCCGGCGAATGTATAGCCGTTTTGTCGGAGATTAGCCGCGAATGCGATGAGGAGTTCGAGTTCGATGAGATGGACTCCCTGTGCGATAAGCTCCGGGCGTTGGCCACCGATAGCCAGAAGTTTAGGGCTAAGAAGGATAGGAGACAACAGAGAAGTAGTTTTAGGGATGTATTGAAGGCCGTGGAGGAAAGGGAACCGCTGAACATGACTGTGAAGTTCGGAAGGGAACGACTCATAATCGACTCGTGGTGTCGGAAGAGACAGTACGACGCCTTCTGCTATGTATTGAAGTCCGGAATGAATTTGCATTTAGGTTTGTGTCCACACATGTGATCATTGATTGATTGGTTCACTAATTGATCCGTTGTTTAAATGAGTGATTAGTCCACTAATTAATGGATTACTAGTACTTAAGCTATTGATTGACTAATGTGTCTTTGTGTCCATTTGTGGTAATCTATAGCCGAAAACGATTTGCTAAGAGATATCTTTGATTTGGGAACTCCTCTGTCATCACTTGATTACACAAATTCAAAGTTAACTAAATTTGAAAGAGTGAGTGATTTTTGTGGTAATTTGTTGTATAAATGTATGGTTTAATTGGTGTTTGTTTTGTGCAGAATATGTCAAACATCGCCAGTTGTAAGGCTCGCACCAAAACCCGGGGCAAACTCCGTGACAAAAGGGCGGACATTATGGCTTGACTTTAGTGCTAAAGACTTGTTTATAATTTAGTTTAATTGTAATGCACTTTGAATTTGTATATATGATTAGATTAATATCTTATGTAATAATTTATTTTCAAACAATTTCTGTATTTTACTCCCTTTCGCTTGACTTTGAAACCAATTAATTGTTTATCTATTTTTGAATATAACGAATCGATATTTTGTTTAATGTAATCATAATAAATTGGAAATTATTTAAATAAAATAAATGATTAATTGATATAAATATAGACTTTGTTTGATTTGACACTTTTATTAAATTGACAAATGTTTTCACTTAAATTAATGAAATAGTACTGTACTGTAGACAAAATAAATTATATTAACTTTACATGATTACAGTAATACGATAGCATATTTAAAAATATGAATGACATTAAAATAGGTGGAAAATTGTTTGCATTAAATGTGATGAACATTAAGGATTGAATTTAATACTGAAAAATTGTTTGAGTGATAACTTCCGATGCAAAACTAGGTTTGATGTAACATTTATTGCCTATAATTTGATGCCTGACTCTAATTGACTATCAATTAATTAGCTGCGAATTTGTCATTGAAATGCATAAGTTTTGTAAACATTTTTATTATTATTCACAATGAAATGTAAATTTTTACAATAAATGCATTGATGTTTAAAAAATTATTTTACAACTCGCTTAATAAATAGATTTTAAATCAAAACTTTGTTTGATAACTAACTTTTGATATGAACAAACGATTTAGACATAAAAATAGAGGCTTTTGGACAAATTCATGGGATATTTGAATAAATAAAAATTGTATATAAAATAAAATTTGCAAATTTAAAATCAAAATATAATTATAAATACAATCATTTGAATGGCACTTAAATTCATAAGTTTAAAAATATCTATAAATAACAATATTTGTTTGATTTGATTGCAGCTTATGTTTAGATTGATTCAGTGGACAGTCCTATTACAGTAGTATATGAGATATATTTTTACAGATGTTTTAAACGTGTTATGATTTACTACAAAAAATAGTTCATTTATAAAATACTATTAATATTCATACAAACGGTGGACTAAAACACTTGAATATAAAGGCAATTGTATAACACATTTGAGTTTCACTTGTGTTTTGACACTAAAACCATTATTACTGTAATATAATAATTACAAAAATTTATAAAATTGTGTCAATGATTAACAAAATTAATTACAATTACAGGTAACTGGGAAACACACCTTCCCTTTAATGTACAACACGTAAAGCAAAACGAGATCGAGATTAAGTCAAATTTTTTGGGCGCCTGTATCGCAACCCCCAACCAATCAACAGGTAGTCTCATATACGGACCCATTGGGCGGTTCCGACACCTTTTGGTCATTCATTTGGCGATCATTACTATCGGTCACCACTTTTGGCTGACTTTGTATTTGCGACTCATTATAATACACATTAGGAACCGGGAAATTGATATAAGTATTACACTTATCCAGGTCTACCCTCTGCTTCTGGGCCTCCATTTCTAGTGTAGTGATCACCTCCT